TACTAGTAGTAGGGCCAGGAGCCCCTAGTAGCTTCTTGCTCCTAGTAGCGATGCCCTTTGTTTCTTGTAGCTTTTTGTTGCTATCAGTAACGCCCTTTGTCCCTAGTAGCTTCTTGTTAGTAGTAGGGCCAGGAGCCCCTAGTAGTGTCCTTGCTTAGTAGCGATGCCCTTTCTTCCTAGTAGCTTCTTGTCACTAGTAGCAATGCCCTTGTTACTAGTAGCCTCTTGTTACTAGTAGTAGGGCCAGGAGTCCCTAGTAGCTTCTTGCTCCTAGTAGCGATGCCCTTTGTTCCTAGTAGCTTCTTGTTACTAGTAGTAATGCCCTTTCTTCCTAGTAGCTTCTTGTTACTAGCAGCAATGCCCTTGTTACTAGTAGCTTCTTAGTAGCAGGGCCAGGAGCCCCTAGTAGCTTCTTGCTCCTAGTAGCGATGCCCTTTGTTCCTAGTAGCTTCTTGCTACTAGTAGAGGGCCAGGAGCCCCTAGTAGCGTGCTTGCTCCTAGTAGCGATGTCGTTTGGTCCTCGGAGCTTCTTGTTAGTAGTAGGGCCAGGAGCCCCTAGTAGTGTCCTTGCTCCTAGTAGCGATGCCCTTTGTTCCTAGTAGCTTGTTGTTACTAGTAGTAATGCCCTTTGTTCCTGGTCACTTCTTGTTACTAGTAAGGCCAGGAGCCCCTAGTAGCGTCCTTGCTCCTAGTAGCGATGCCCTTTGTTCCTAGTAGCTTCTTGTTGCTAGTAGTAGTGCCCTTTGTTCCTAGTAGCTTCTTGTTACTAGTAGTAGGGCCAGGAGCCCCTAGTAAGCGTCCTTGCTCCTAGTAGCGATGCCCTTTGTTCCTAGTAGCTTCTTGCTACGAGTAGTAATGCCGTAATGCCCTTTGTTCCTAGTAGCTTCTTGTTACTAGTAGTAGGGCCAGGAGCCCCTAGTAGCGTCCTTGCTCCCAGTAGGGATGCCCTTGTTCCTAGTAGCTTCTTGTTACTAGTAGTAATGCCCTTTGTTCCTAGTAGCTTCTTGTTACTGGTAGAAGGGCCAGGAGCCCCTAGTAGCGTCCTTGCTCCTAGTAGCGATGCCCTTTGTTCCTAGTAGTTTCTTGTTACTACAGTAATGCCCTTTGTTCCGAGTAGCTTCTTGTTACTAGTAGTAGGGCCAGGAGCCCCTAGTAGCGTCCTTGTTCCTAGTAGCGATGCCCTTTCTTCCTAGTAGCTTCTTGTTACTAGTAGTTATGCCCTTTGTTCCTAGTAGTTTCTTGTTACTTTTAGTAGGTCTCCTGGGGCTCCTAGTAGCGTCGTTGCTACTAGTAGCGATGCCCTTTGTTCCTAGTAGCTTTGTGTTACTGGTAGTAGTTCCCTTTGTTCCTAGTAGCTTCTTGTTACTAGTAGTAGGGCCAGGAGCCGCTAGTAGCTTCTTGCTCCTAGTAGCGATGCCCTTTGCTCCTAGTAACCTACTTCTTGTCACTAGTAGCAATCCCCTTTGTTCGTAGTAGGTTTTTGTTATTAGTAGTACGGCCAGGAGCCCCTAGTAGCATCCTTGCTCCTAGTAGCGATGCCCTTTGTTCCTAGTATATAGCTTTTTGTTACTAGTAGTAGTAGTAGAAGTAGTAGTAGTAGTAGTGCCCTTGTTACTAGTAGCTTGTTTTTACTAGTAGTAGGGCCAGGAGCCCTTACTAGCTTCTTGCTCCTAGTAGCAATGCCCTTTGTTCCTAGTAGCTTTTTGTTACTAGTAGGAATGCCCTGTACTTGTAGCTTCTTGTTACTAGTAGTAGGGCCAGGAGCCCCTAGTAGCTTCTTGCTCCTAGTAGCGATGCCCTTTGCTCCTAGTAGCGTCCTCTCCTAGTTTTTGATCCAATTAGCTTGCATCGGTTTTCCCTTTGCAGGCTTTCAACTGGCTCCCCTTGGCCTGCCTCATCGAGGCGCGTGTTGTTCATGCGTGCATCTCGGGGGGGCATGCAGGATCGGAGTGGTCAAAGCCGGGGCACATCGGCGTGCGACGTGGGTGTTCGTGCGACGAGGGGAAGATCTTGACGCTGCATGGGGGCATCGGCAATGGGAAATGGACCATCAACGAACTGGCCGCGGTGAAACGGCCTTTGAAGTCAGCCCGGAGGCTCAGAGGGACCTGGTCGAAAGGAATCGTGGACTCGATCGGATTGTCGGAGACTCTTCGGTCCGATAATAGGTAAATATTGATTTAAAAAATATATATAAGTATATACATATATAGATCTCCATAGATATCCTATGCTTGTTGACTGCGTGCCCTCACATGGTTGTGGGTCGAAACATACTAACAAAGCCGTTTAGTTTGTTGACATCGTTTTTTTCCCCAAACAGTTTAGATGTGTCCGCCCTTTGTGTCACTGCTGGTGTCCGCCCTGTTCCGCTGGCCATGTAGAGTTTCTATTCATTTGTCTCCCAGGTCTGTCACTGGTGTCCGCCCTTTTCCGCTGACCACGCAGCATTTCTATTCATTTGTCTCCCAGGTCTGTCACTGCTGGTGTCCGCCCTTTTCAGCTGGCCATGTAGCATTTCTAAGCATTTGTTTCCCAGCTCTGTCGCTGCTGGTGTCCGCCCTTTTCCGCTGGCCATGTAGCATTTCTGGTCATTTGTCTCGCAGGTCTGTCACTGGTGATGGCCAGCCCTTTTCCGCTGGCCATGCAGCATTTCATTTTGTCTCCCAGGTCTGTCACTGCTGGTGTCCGCCCTTTTCCGCTGGAGATGCAGCATTTCTATTCACCGAAACAATTTACTGTTAGGGGCTCTCAATTCTTCTTCGAGATGCGTCCGCCCTTTCTGTCACTGCTGGATCTTTTCCGCTGGCCAAGCAGCATCTTGTCTCCCTTCTTGTTGGTCACAGTATCTGCCTTGTCTTTCCTTTTGTCTCCCTTTGTGTCCGGTCTTGTCTCCCTTTTTGTTGGTCACTGTGTCCGTCTTGTATCCCTCCTGTTTCCTTTTGTCTCCCTTCTCGTCTCCCTTGTTGTCTCCCTTCTTGTTGGTCATTGTGTCCGCCTTGTCTTCCTTCTTGTCTGCATTTCCCTTCCTGTTGGTCACTGTGTCCGCCTTGTCTCCCTTCTGCTTTCTTGTCTTTTCCTTCTTGTCTCCGTTTTTGTTGGTCATTGTGTCCGTCTTGTCTCTCTTCCCCTTTTTTCTCCCTTCTTGTCTCGCTTCTTGTTGGTCATTGTGTCTGCCTTGTCTCCCTTCTGTCTCCCTTTGTCTCCGGTCTTGTCTCCCTTCTTGTTGGTCACAGTGTCCTTCTTATCTCCCTTCTGCCTCCTTTTGTCTCCCTTCTTGTTGGTCATTGTGTCCGCCTTGTCTCCCTTCATTCTTTCTTTGTCTCCGGTCTTGTCTCCCTTCTTGTGGGTCACTTGTCTCCCTTCTTGTTCGTCATTGTGTCCGTCGAGTCTTGTCTCCCTTCTGTCTCCCTGTTTTCTCTGGTCTTGTCTCCCTTCTTGGTGGTCATTGTGTCCGCCTTTTCTCTCTTCTGTTTCCTTTCGTCTCCCTTCTTGTTGGTCACTGTGTCCGCCTTCCTTCTGTTTCCTTTTGTCTCCCTTCTTGTCGTCCTTTTTGTTGATCATGGTGTCCGCCTTGTCTCCCTTCTGTTTCCTTTTGTATCCCTTCTTGTCTCCCTTCTTGTTGGTCATTGCGTCCGTCTTGTCTCCCTCTGTTTCCTTTTGTCTCCCTTCTTGTCTCCGTTCTTGTTTGTCATTGTGTCCGTCTTGTCTCCCTTCTTGTTGGCGTCTCAAAAAGTGGACTTGGGAATGCTTCGTTGTTGTCTAACCTGTTTGGGGTCTACGGCGGTGTATTTTTTTTTTCGGAGTTAAAAGGTCTTTATGCGGTCTTGGACAAGTGTGTTTTTGATTCAAGAACGACAGACTGAGGAGGACTTTCAGACCGAGAAGCATCGGTGGCTCTACAACATCCTCTGGTCCGACCCCATCCCGGACGATGACACTGGGGCGTTCATGTGATCGACCATGTGTGACCAATCCCTTCGTGAGGAGTTGGCCCAGGTCAAAATGCGATCCTTTTGCGGTTGTTCCAAAGAGGAAACACAGAAAAAAATAGTAGCACCCATGGAAAGATACGCACATTTGGGTGTGAGGGTGGGATTTTCAGTCTATCGCCGTTCTGTTGGTTGCTGGGCGGGCTAGCAGCAGCACGCTGGTTGGTTGGTTGGTCGGTCGGTCGGTTGGTTGGTTGGTTTCGGTTGCTGCTCAGGAAGGCCCTGAGGGCAGCGGACATGTCTTTGGCGTCCATAGTTCGCCACGAACAGCCTCTGCAGTGCAGTTCGGCTGGAACATCACCAAGACCTTTTGTGCGCTGAATGGCTTTGATCTCCTAGTGAGGACAGCGCGCAACAGAACAGCACAGCATCAAACCGGAGAATTGAAGCAGGGGGATCCCGAGTAGGAATCATAGAGCTTGTGCTGTAGTGTTGATTTCCCTGTTTTGGGTGCCAAGTTTAGAAGCACTAGGTCTATCATGTGAGTTTCTATCACTCCATGTGCAGGAGCCACCAATGCCAACACCAAGGAAGCGGGTGTGAGGTGATGCACGACCAGATGTTGATGCGCGTTTTCTCTGCGAGGGACTATGAAGACCACCAGAATGATGCGGCCATTTTGTCAATTTCCAGGGGCAGCAAGCGTCCATTGGAAAAGCTAGTGGGAGGGGAGGGGGAGATGGAAACTCCAGAGCTTTCAACAATCGATATATTGCGAGGAAAGAAATACCCAGTCCACACTGGGTGCAGCATGGTTTGGGCTGCCTGCGGCTGCCTGTTCGTTCCATCAACGTAACACTGTTAGTTTTGCGCACTGCAACTCAGATGTGGTTGGGGGGTTGAGGATGCAGTTTGTAGCCCCATGCCGCCAACCTCAGAATGCATGAAAACTGAAAGGTGTATGGTGGTTGAACATGTAATAGACTAGTATTCATCTTTGGAGCAATGCCAAAGACGATGTGTGAATATAAGATAAGAGATAGCTCTTTAGAAGATAGCAGAGACTGCTCAAGCAGAGAGGTGAAGTCGTGGCCACCTTGCCCCCAGCTGGGCCCCAGCTCCCTTTGCATTGGTTGCCAATGGGTTTTGGTGGTGGGTTGGGAGCTTTAGCAGCGCCTGTTGGACTGTGGAAAAGGTCGAAAGTCAACTCAGCTGCTACCTGGTGTTGGGTTGAAAATCTGGGTTTATCCTACTGACCTACTGTTCCAATATGTTGTTCCATTCAACCTAGATCGATTCACGCACAAACACAGGTTGGCAATCTCAAGCTGATTATATACGGTGGTTTCAGAGTAGATGGCACAGACCTCAAGATGTCCTTTATACGGGGGTTCATATAAACCACCTCTTGGGGTCTGTGCCATCTACTGTCAATCCCTTATAATTAGCTTGGCATTTTCATTCATCGGTGTCTTTTTATTCTACACCATCTTCCCCTTGACGATTGATGGGGCAATATTGCCATCGAAATAGACAGAAGCAATGTGACACAATTTTTTTCAATATAGAATAAGCCAGGGAGCAAGCTGAATGCCAATAGAAAAGACTAATCCAGAGGGGGAAAGGAACTATACAAGAAATCGTTGCTAGAATCCACGCATGATCATGCTTGCCAGGCACGTGTAGGGGCCAAGCAATCCTTAAAGGTTTGGGCTAACTCCACGTATTCTTGATTGATTCTCAATAGCCTTCAAGAACATAGTTGCAAATGGAAAGACAGAAGGGAAAGGGGGGGGCACACGTAGAATATACCAGCACGGAAAGAGCAACACAAAGAGAGGACGCACCTGGGAATTCAACCTTTTTGTGCAAGAAAACTACGATTATTCAACAACGCAACACAAGTGTTCCTACTTGGACGTGGAACTGCAAATATGTTTATCGACAACTGAAGCTCTTATTATTCAACGAACCTGAGAAGAAATCCCTCAGCTAGAAACGTCCCCAAGAAGTACTGAGCTTGAGTGAGATTGAGGTTCTTGCACTCTTCATGTATAGATGACACATCATGTATAGTTGGTGTCTTGAAATTGTCATGTAAAGACTTGCATCACCAGTAATCGGCTTTGCCATTGCACTGTGGACGCCAACCTGATTTGGCTCAAGAACTTGAAGAAAAGGTGCCAGGGCCGTGAATGTCGTTCGAGATCGTATCGACCGCTGCCTTTGCATAGGAAAGTCAGGTTCCAGAGTTTATCTGGTTATCAGCCGTAGAGAGGCTACGAGACCACACACACACGTAGAGTGAGACAGGCTTGTCAAACGAAACATCGGCATTGTGTTGAAACTTCTTTCGAACACTTGTTGCCTCGCGCTTTCGGGCGCGATCCATGCCACCGCGAGAACGATCGCGGCGTCGACGTGGCCCACGGGGTGGTGACCCGAACAGGCCAAGTCAGCAGTCCCGTCGGGAGCGTGGACTCCCCACAGAGGACAGACAGAGAGAGCCAGAGAGAAGCACCCGGCATCGTGAACGACGTGGTGAGCGTGAGCGTGAGTCGGGGCGTGAGCGTGGTCGCGACAGCAGATCGCGTGTTAGGGAGGTTTATCGGGCGCAGAGCCCGAGGCAGCCCAGGTTCCCTCCCCCTGGAGTCGTCGAGACCTGGGAGACCAGGCGGTTGCCCAGGGCTGTATCCGATTCTGAAGAGTCGGTGGCTGAGGAGCGTGCTCGTGATCGGAGACGCCGGTCGCAGACGCCGAGTGAGCATACAGAGAGATCCCGGTCGAGGCCTCGTGGTCGGTGGCAAAAGTGCTGGGTGTGGGTTCCTGAAGGTGGATTGAGCCCTGTGCGTGACGACAGCAGGGAGCAAGAGGAAGGTTCTCAGGACGACGAGATCCCGGAGGAGGAAGTGGAGCTTGAAGGTGAAAGTGTTGACACGGTGACAGGTGAGCCTCGTGAGACTCGTCGTGCAGCAGTCGGTGACATTGCTCCTGAGGTTCCCGGCGCTTCGCCGGAAGTGGCATCAGGTGTTGACTTTTCGGCGACCGAGGATTCGATCGCGAGACAAGCGACAGAGGAAGCAACAGAACATTCAGTGTCGCTTGAGCCAGAGAGCATTCAGGAGAAGGCACGAGAGCTTCGATCCAGGTCGGCCCGCCCTACTGCTAGCAAGCCGTCGCCGTCGATCAGTGAAGATCCAGTTGAAGTGAAGCTTCCTGTTGAGAAGAGAGTCAAGCCTCCGCCTCAGGCTACGTCAGCCAAGGTCGAAGCCAGTGACATTGGGCGTGAGGAGTCGGCAGTTGGTGCATTGCGTCGTGCCATTGGTCGTGATCCATCGCGCCAGCGCGAGGGAGAGACTTCGTCCGGTTCTGGCTTGAAGCGTGTTGTTGAAGCCCTTCCCACACCACCTCCGGTGCCAACAAAGGAGGAGATTGAGCAGACAGAAGCTGCTCGAAAGCGTGAGTTGGAGAGCCTACCACCTCCACCGCCAGTGCCTCGTGAGCCACCCGTTCCTGTGACCATCAGGCCTGCGGCCAAGCCGAAGTTGACCGAGGAGATTCAGCCTGTCGTTCTTGCCCCGAGACCGAAGGAGCGCCCTCAGTCGACTGGTGAACCGTCACCTTCAACCCGACCACCCGAGCCACGTGGCGTACCGCCGCCGGCTTGGCAAGACAAGCCACTTGTTTTGCTGGATTTCCACAAGACCCTGAGTTTCCCGAACAACGATCCGCCGATTCCCGAGACGGTCGTGCAGACCATCAGGACGATCAAGGAAAAGGGATTCGCGGTTGGCATCCTCAGCTTTGCCTCCAATAAGGCAACTCAGGAAGGTGTCGCAAGTGGGGTCGCAGAGTTGGAAGGTCGACTTGGTTGGTCGTTTGACGTGTTCGCGATCACGCGAACCAAGTTCTCGACAGACGCCGAACAAGGAGCATCGATTACTGGGCACATTGGGAGCAAAGCGAAGTTGGTTGCTCAGTTTGGCCCGATCATCTACGTGGACGACCAAGGCTCATTGCTGAACGACGTGCGTGCGCTCCAGCAAAACGTACCGATTGGTCACAAGACCCACTGCATTCGTGCCGCCACGTATCCGAGTGAGTCGTTGGTTCCACTTGAGAGATTGCTCAGGACCTTTCCAAGGACCAGCGATCTGCCCACAGCCAGAGAACTGGGCAGGATCTTTGGGACCAGGTGAGGCGAGAAGGAGACGACCAGTGTGCTTGTACATTGGTCGAGAGTGGGCATTGCATCATTGGTCGATAAACTCTTCTGCAAAAGCTACGTGTTGGGTTGAGGCTGGTGATACATTGCTGTTGAATTTGGCGACATTGGTCGATAAATCCGTCTGCAAAGGCTACGTGTCGGAGTGAGGCTGGTGACGCACCGATTTTTGAGCGTTGCAACAGTGGTCAATAAACCCGTCTGCTAAGGCTACGTGTCGGGTTGAGGCCGTTGCTACAACATTGATCTTGTGTGGTCAGACATTGGTTGTGTTGAGGACAATTCATTGGTGGTGGTTGAACATTGGTTAGTGTCAGTGGCCGAAGCTTGTGCTGCCTTTGCGTCTGATTCGCGTATCCACGCGACGGACGCGACTCGTCGACTGCGTCTCTACGCGTCCCACTGCCAAAATTCGCAGCTTTTAGCGCGTGGCAATAAACTCCGCGACAAACGTCGCGTGCCGGCAGTGAAAAGAGGAGGTGGTGCTGCTCAGTGTGTCGAGACATTGATTGTGTTGTTGTGTTGAGCTTTTGTGAACAAACTATCTGTAGTTAGTTGAGAGTCCTTCAACAGAGTTGGGTCGAATTTGAGTGTGTTGAGTTGACAGATTGAGTTGAGAGTCGTTGCATTGCACCGGATAGTCGATGTCAAAACGGTCGCTTCCTGCAACTCCCTTTCATGTCATCGGTCCTGAAGGCTCCTACGAAACCTCGAGTTCATCCATTTCTCCGGAGACTGGGCTTGCGAGGATGGAGGGTGAATTGGGAACTGGTGGAGGAACCGGGCTCCAAGTGAGCGTGCCGGCCAAGGGAAACACAAAGGTTGCAGTGAGGCGTGTGCGGACCCAGAGTTCTGAACCTTCCCAACCTTCTGGGGTACAAGGTGATCCATCGGCCGTTCCTGGGGTGCATGTTTATGATCAGAGAACCCTCAACCACCTACAAGTACTCAACCAGCACAACATCGATCCAGAGACACTTGAAAGAATCGTTCAGGGTTACGTTCAATCGCAGTTGAACCATGCAGAACAGGTGATACAGCATGAACGACAACAACATCAACTTGAGCAGCAAAATGCAGCACTACAGTTGAGCCTTGAACATCAACAGATGAACCAGCACATCCAACAGCAAGAAGCCAGCATGGCACAACAAGCGCACAGCAGAATCAATCAGATCACAACAGAGGCACAAGCAGAAATCCTCAAGCATCAGCAGATAGCAGAACAAGCGCAACGCGAGATACAGCGCGTGACAGCTGCAGCAGAAGCTAGGTGTCAAGATCTTGCACGAGAGAACGAAGCACTCCGAGCTTCGCCTGTTGCAGGCTACTTTGATGCATGTCCGTCTGAAGCCGGAAGAGCCCCATCAGTTGCTTCAGCCTCACCGTTGTGTATTGTCATGTGTGTGGAAACCAAAATGTTGTTGGGCGTGGTTGGTGTTGGAAGTGCAAAAATAGTCTCGAAGAGCCCGAGAATGG